GGGAGGGGGCGTGGTGGTGTCAGGGAGGTGGGGGGGCTGAATGGGCAGATTCTTAGGCAGCTCCTCTCCTCCAACCTGCAGCCCCATGCTGGGTTTATATCTGTATCCACACCAAGCGAGCGGGAGTAGGCTCAGGACAGTTGAGGCAGTGAGGGCTGGGCCTGGCTTCCCCACAGGTGAGTGGAGGGCACAGGCTGGGGGCCGGTCGGAAGGGGTGTCTGAAGAAGAAGCTGGCTGACAGCGGGCACCTGGCAGGAGCATGACAGGATGGGGAGGGTCTGATAGGGAGGTGTGAAGAGCCTTAAGGTCTTACTAGCCCGTCACAAGTGGCATCTATGTGTGGGTTGCAGATGAAGGGTCTAGATTCAAGTCCACCCAGGCACAGCCCTGAACCACAGAGCCTTGGAGAGTCTGTGGGGCAGGGATTAGACTGGGCCCAGGTCCCATAGTTGCAGGCTCCAGGTACAGCTCTGAAGCTTTCCTGGTGTCTCTTTGTGGCTCTCTTACTGGTACAGTGAGCACATCAGGCAAAACAAAAATGGAGACACATGGTATGACACAGTATGTCTGTGCCACTTCTGGGAGCAAGTCTGAGGGCTGTCATTTGGGTGCCACTGCATTAGAATTTCAGCAGCATTTCTGCAGGGTCAGTGGGAGAGAGTATCTGAAATCTAGCCTGGCCTGGAAAAGCTGGTCCAGGTGACTGCCATGCATATAGGCATATTTTGCTTTCTACTAGGGAAGCTGGAAGACAGCTTTAGATCACAGCTTCCACAACTGCTGTGCCTCACTTCCATCAGCATTTGGGGAGTGTGATGAGATGTGGTGGGATCAGGAATGGGGAGGTTCAGAGCCTTCCTGGGTTACTGGCAGGACCAAGTCTTGGTGCTTTCCCTCACAGTGTGGCCAGAAAGCAGGTGGAAGAGGCAGTGATGGCAGAGGCTGGCAGATCTGCTCAGTTAACCAGGGCAGGAAAAGCCTGCTCTGTCTTCCTTCCTATGGGGCGAGGGGCCAGCAGTGAGAGAGCGGCTCCTTGAAGAATAACGGCAGTTGTGGGGAATGGAGGGACAAGAGCTGTATCACTACTAGTTTGGTCAGAGGGTCGAGAACAGCAGTAGCCTGACCCCCTGGAAACCCTGCCCAGGGACCTGGGCTTTAGCTCACTGAATGGGTCCCCTAGAAGGGCAGACACCATGACGTCCTTACTATGTGGTGGAGGGGCAGGAGGCAGCCCTCTGCGGAGCCCTCCCTGGCCTGGGCAGACAGGAGTTACCTTGGTGGCCAGTAGCCGGGTCAGGTAGATCTCAGATACCATCTTGCTCCCCCGGTCCCCCTCCTTCTGGTCCCCGTGGTCATGGTTCTTCACCAGGTGCCACACCTTGACCCCGCTCTCCAGGTCTGGGGTGATCATAGGGGCCCGAGACCGCAGACTGTCGGGACTGCCCGTGTACCTGAAGGAGGAATCTGGGGGGGCAGGGGGGTGGGGCTGTGAGTAGCTCATTCACCATCCTTGCCTGTAGAATGCTTTTTGAATCCTTGCCCACCCGCTGCCCTCACTCAGAATAAACTATTTTCAATTGGAAGAGGACTGTTGGGATCTCATATGCGGTAGGTTATTTTAGGGATCCTTGATTGGCATGAGGACAGAGGAGATTGAAGCCTTTGTAAAAAGAGGATTTAGAAATTCTGTGAGCAGTAAAGACCCTTGGGGGTTAAGGAGCCCTCTTCCTCTATGCTTCCAGCAATGAATAATCAACAGGTAAAATGTCAACTGGATTTTTTCACAGGAGCTGTAATAAAAATCTGGATGCTAAGGAGGTTTAAGCTGTGTGATCCCTCTTGGGAATTAAAGGGTCCCTTCCTTCTTGGGGTCTATAATATGGAATTTCCTAAGCCCTTTTTTCAGCTGCTGAGCTCAGTCCAAGGAGCCCTGGTGTTGCAGTGGTTAAAATGCTTGTCTGTTAACCAAAAGGTTGGAGGTTCAAAACCACCAGCAGTTCAGTGGGAGAAAGATTTACAGCCTTGGAAACCCTATAGGGTGGCTATGAGTTGGAATCGACTCAACGGCAGTGGGTTTGGTTGGTTTGCGGCTCAGTCCTGTGGGTATCCTTTACCTGGGCAGGCCAAGGCCTTAGTGTGTACATGCAACCAGAACAAATGGAGTAAGAGAGGGTAAAGCACCATAACCTCACCGCCCAGAGGTACTGCAGGCTGTAGCACCCCCTAGGGTGGAGGGACTAGGGTGACCAGATAATTTATCATCCAAACTGGAACACTTTGAGACTACTGAACCAAACGAACTTGATGCCATCCAGTCGATTCCGACTCATAGCGACCCTACAGGACAGAGTAGAACCGCCCCATAGGGTGTATAAGGACTGGCTGGTGGATTCGAACTGCCGACATTTTGCTTAGGAGCCAGAGCAGCCTGTATTCTCAGAACTGTGGGCAGCTGTGGCACCATGTGCCCTTTGCTATGCCAGGCCTGGTGAGGGAGTGTGAGTAGCCCAGAACCAGAGAGACACTGGATAGACAGGTCGTTTATCCCAGTTTGCCTGGGCCAGTCCCAGTTTATACTTATTAATAATACTCCCTTTTTATTCTCAAGGGCCTCCCTGGTTCTACGCTATTCAGACTCCTTCACCAGGCCTGGTACAGCAAGGGGCATATGGCGCCACTACTGCCCACAGTTCTGAGAAGACAAGCTGCTCTGGGGATGATGGAGCCAGGCAGGAAGGGAGACAAATGAGGAAGGGGCTCGGAACCAAGGCCAGGCAGGGGCAAGGGCTTTCTGCTCTTAGAAGGGATGCTGAGTGGTCCTTGTAGGCCATAGAAGATGCCACTCGGAGCGGCCCAGTCCTCACCGTATCTGCTGATGGATGTCCTGGAGATGCTGGCGGAGGCAGGGATGTTGTATGAGGAGGTCTGTTTGGGGACCAGAGCCACCACCGATCGGTCTGACACCTGAGAAGAGCACAGAAAGCACAGCGCAGGTGAGTGCAGGCATCCGTGGGAGCTTAACCAGTCACGTCCTTGTAGAAAGTTATGGACTAGGTGTGGGGTGGGGAGCCAGGAGTTTGGGAATGCCAGAAATCACAATTACTGTTATTTTTTGAGCTTTCATTGGACTAGAGCTGTGCTGTCCGATATGATAGCTAATAGCTCCATGTTGCTATTGAGCACTTGAAATGTGGTTAGTCCAAATTGAGATACACTCTAAGTGTCTGTATTGAGACGTGCTATGAAGTGTAAATACACAGCAGATTTCAGTGACTTAGTATGAACCACAAGATATAAACCACCTAACTGATAATTTTTATATTGATTACATGCTGAAATAATTATTTGAAAAACATTGGATTAAATAAAATATATTATTAAAGTTAATTTCACCTGTTTATTTTTACGTGTTAAAATCTGCCTAGTAGAAAATTTTAATTACACATGTGTTTGCATTTGCGGCTTGCACTGTGTTAGACAGCACAGGGCTAGGCAAGCAGTCCTAGCAACCTTGTGCATTCTGTCTGTACAATTATTCCCACTTGACAGATGAAGCAACTGAAGCAGAGAGAGGTTATGTAATGTCTTCAGGGCACGTGCTTACTACGTGGTGGAGCCTAGATTTGCAGCCAGGTCTGCCAGGCTCCAGAGCACATGTTCTTTTCATTATATCCTGTGTGGGGTTTGTTTCAGTCACGCTGATCTGAAGCCTGTTTTCCCTTTGGCTGTGACCTCTTTCTGGCCTGGGTCCTACAATGCCTGGGCCACTTCGTGGCTTCACCAAAGGGTAGCTGCTCTTTGGGGGGCAGAGAGAAAGGTGGTGTCAGGCCCCTTCCTCTGGGAGAGTGCTGGATCCACACCCAGCCTGTAGGGAGAGGGCTGAGAAACGAGGAGCCATATTGAAGACATTTGGGGCCATTTTGATTTAAGGTTACTCTCCATCCAATAAAAACGGAGAATCCCCAGAATCGTGGCGATGCAATTAAACCTCTAACGCAGAGGGAATAAAACACTATAACAATGTTATAGGCCATAAAACATTCCTATTAAACCATTTTTTATTTTAACAATTTTTATGAACTTTATAAGTTTGATTTATAGCTGCACCAGTCATAAAGCCATCCTTCTGGGTCTTAAATTGTCAGTCCCTGTCTCCCACCAAAAAAGAATTAAATGTTGGGAAGTCAAACTATAAATGAAAATTAGTGCTAACGAGATTCCCTGATAGCCAGTTTTAGTGGTGGTGGTTAATTTTGCCCTCCCTATAAATCTGCGGGAGCCCGGGAAGTTTTTTAACATCTCTTTGTTAATTAAGATTATGTAGATTTTCTCCCGCAGGGGCTCCAAGGACCTTTGACTCTTGGGAGGGCAACCAGAGCGCAGTGCTTGAGCTTGGTGAGCACAAAGCTCCAGGGTCGGTGCCTCCCAGTGCCATCCTGTGCCTGGGAGGTGCAGCGGCTCCGTGACCTCCCAGCGGGCCAGCGCCTGGACTCCTCAGCCAGCATTTTGCGCCACCAGCACCAGGTCTAGGACTCAAGGGGACCTCTCCACCTCTGCCTGTCAAGGAATCTTCCTGGCAACTGATGGCCCAGAAATGGTCCCTGAAGGCCTGGGAGGGCAGGGCTCACACTTCCAGGGAGACCAGATTATGTTATCATTTTTGGCTTGTTGTCACCTAAAGGAAGGTTCACAAGGCCACTCAGATGACCGCAGTTAACTCAATTTCAGGTCTCATCACTAAACTCCTCTTGTCCTCGGTTTTTCTGTCTCTTAACCAACAGGCCCACTACCTGTCTGTCAGTTTGCCGTACTGGGGTGGCTTGTGTGTGGCTTTGATGCTGGAAGCTATGCCACCGGCATCTTATATTCCAGCAGGGTCACCCATAGTTTCAGTGGAATTTCCAGACTAAGACTAGGAAGAAAAGCCTGGTGATCTGCTTCCAAAAAATGAGCCAATGAAAACCCTATGGAGCACAACAGAATACTGTCTGATATAGTGCTGGAAGATGAGCACAACAATGGACTCAAACATACCGACAATCAGGAAGATGGAGCAGGACCGGGCAATGTTTCATTCTGTTGTATATAGGGTTGCCATGAGTCAGAGCTGACTCGACAGCAACTCACAACAACACCAAACACACAGCGCAGATCTGTGGTCAGGATGCCTGGCTGGGTGTGAGCCCTGGCTCTGCCATTTACTAGCTGTGTGACTTCGGAAAATCACTTACCCTCTCTGTGCCCCAGTATTCTCATTCGTCAGTGGGTAATAAAGGTGTCCACCTCATAGAGCTGTTGTAAGGATTGAAGGGGTTAAGACACGTTGAGGGCTGAGAGCAGCATCTGGCACCCAGTGAGCACTCGGTAAGTATAGCTATTAGTGTTACTGCTATCGTCATCATTGTCCCCCTTCCCCAAAGGGAAGAAAAGTCCCTGCTGTCCTGTCACTCAGGACTAGTGCGTGGGAAGTGCCTTGCGCTCAGTAAAGCTCAGTAAATATTCGAGGGATGAATAAATACATGAATGATAGAGGACATCAGGGAATTGAAAGCATGATGAGCACCATAGAACAGAATATTCCATGCTTTCGTCTGGAAGCCATAGGACAGAGAGCCCAGTAACAAGTGTTACGTGTCGGAGACAGAGAGGAACTACCTCATGCCTGCCCTTTAGAAACTTATAATTTAGGTGCGTGATGCCATTCTTTTTGCACTTCCTATTCAGTTCTAAGGAGCTCTGGTGGTACAGTGGTTAAAGCGCTCAGCTCAAACTGAAAGGTCAGCGGTTTGAACCCGCCTGCTGCTCCGAGGGAGAAAGATGTGGCTGTCTGCTTACATAAAGATTTACAGCCTTGGAAACCCTCTGGGGCAATTCTACTGTGTCTTATAGGGTCACTCTCAGTCAGAATCAACTGGATAGCGGTGGTTTTGGTTTTTTGGATTCAGCTGTAATTGCAGGAGCCTTGGTGGCACAGTGGTTAAAGCGATTGGCTGCTAACCGGAAGGTTGATGGTTCAAAACCACCAGCAGCTCCATGGGAGAAAGACGTGGCGGTCTGCTTCAGTTGAGATTCACAGCCTTGGAGACCCTATGGGGTTGGTATGAGTCGGAGTCGACTCAATGGCCCTGGGTTTTGTTTGTTTTTTTCCAGTTGGTTCACTACAATAGCTCTACATGTGAATAGTGTGTATGTGTAATTAAAAAAAAAAAAGTTGCCTTTGAATTCATTCTGACTCATGGTGACCCCATGTACATCAGAGCAGAACTGAGCTCCACAGGGTTTTCAGTGGCTGTGATCTTTCTGAAGTAGATTGCCAGGGCTTTCTTCTGAGTTGCCTCTGGGTGGATTCAAACCGCCAACCATTTTGTTAACAGCCAAGCGCTTAACGTTCTGTGCCACCCACGGACTCCATGTGTGTAATTAACAGGAAGTAACTATAGTTACCTGGTATGGATGTGAACATCCTGGGTACCTCACCAGTTATTTCTAATCCTTCCAGCCACCTTGACAAGTTGGGCTTGTCATATCCATTTTACAGATGAAAAGTCCAAGGTGCGGGGGAGTGGCAAACACATACCGCCAGTGAGCAGTGAACCCAAACCCCCTGCCATCAAGTCGATTCTGACTCACAGCGACCCTACAGGACAGAGTAGACCTGCCCCATGGGGTTTCCAAGGCTGTAAATCTTTACGGAAGCAGACTGCCACATCTTTCTCCTGTGGAGTGGCTAGTGGGTTCGAACTGCCAGACTTTTGGTTAGCAGCCGAGTGCTTTTAACCACTGTGCCATCAGGGTTCCTTCTGAGCAATGAAGTAGGGGTTTAAATACAGTGTCCAAAGCTTTTTATCCCTTCGCTATACCTGGAACAGGGGTCCAGGTAGCGAGTAGGCATAGATGCAGGTCAGTGGGGGATGCAACTCAGACAGGAGTGTCTCAGGGTACCCGCAGTGGCCCCCTTTCTCTGTGCCCTAGCAGCCTGGTCTTGGCAACTTGGCAGTTGGGAGCCCGGCCTGCCAGCCCCCTTTGTGAGGCACGGACGGAGGCGATATTAATTAGGCAATCCTATAGGATCTTCGCCTGAGGCGCTTCCTCTTGTGGGTTGAATTTCCCTCAGGGTCTCTCATTTCCAGTTTCTATTTTAGCATTTTTCTTGACTCCAATTTGCCTACCTTCGCTTAATCTTATGGAGACCCCCAGCAGTGAGCACTTACAGTGGGAGGGGAGGGAGGCGGGGTGGATGCTGCAGGGCCCTTTGTTCTTTCCGCTGGGATTTTCTGCCTTTTTAAAAATATTTTTGTTGTGCTTTAGATGAAGGTTTACAGAGCAAATGAGTTTCTCATGAAACAATTAACACACATACTGTTTTGTGATGTTGGTGGCCCACCCCACGACATGTCAACACTCTCCCCTTCTCAACCCTGGGTTCCCTGTCACCATTTGTCCAGCTTTCCTGTCCTCTCCTGTCTTCTCATCCTTGCCCCTGGGCTGGTGTGCCCACTTATCTCATGTATGTGGTTGAGCTACATGTATTATTGTTTGTTTTATGGGCCTGTCTATTCTTTGGCTGAAGGGTGAACCTCAGGAGTGACTTCAGTACTGTTAAAAGGGTGTGTGGGGTCCATACTCTTGGGGTTTCTCCAGTCTCTGTCAGATTTACGTGAGTTTGAATTTTGTTCTATGTGTTTCTCCAGCTCTGTCCAGGACCCTCTATTGTGATTCCTCTCAGAGCAGTCGGTGGTGGCAGCTGGGCACCATCTAGTTGTGCTGGACTCAGTCTGGTGGAGGCTGTGGTAGTTGTGGTCCATTAGTCCCCTGAACTAACCTTTCCCTTGTGTCTTTGGTTTTCTTCACTCTCCCTTGCTCCCGATGGGATGGGACCAGTGGAGTATCTTAGGTGGTCACTCACAAGCTTTTAAGATCTCAGATGCTACTCACCAAAGTAGGATGTAGAACATTTTCTTTATAAACTATGTTATGCCAATTGAGCTAGATGTCCTCCAAGACTGTGGTCCTCAGCCCTCAGCCCAGTAATTCGGTCCCTCAGGGAGTTTGGATGTGTCTATGGAGCTTCCATGACCTGGGATGTTTTGACTCTTCATTCATTGTCTGCCAGTGTGCTCAACACTCTTATATACATTTCACCTATATCACACAACCTGTGGAGTAGGGATCATACTAACCCCATTTTACAGATGAGAAGAAAGAGAACTTAAGTAATCTCTCCAAGGATACCAGTTAGGAAGTGGCAGCTAATAAGACCTGAAGACAATCTTTTCCCTGTTGTTTTGAGTGCTGTTGAGTCAATGCAGACTCATAGCAACCCTACAGGACAGAGTAGAACTGCTCCATAGGGTTTCCTAGGCTGTAATCTTTATGGGAGCAGATTGCTAGGTCTTTTCTCCCGTGGAGCCGCTATTGGGTTCGAACCACCAACTTTTTGGTTAGCAGCCGAGCACTTATCCATTGCACCACCAGGTCTCCTTCATCTTTTCCCACTACAGGTAAAAAGTGTAAGTTGCATTATTAAGATGTCCTAAGGAGAAAGTGACAGATAGCTTATGGTAATTGTCTATTTAGAGGACTTGGCAAATATGCACTTTTTTCCTGGAGACTTAGAGATATACAGGCTAGAAGTGCCTTAGCTTTATCTGGAGCCTTGGTGGCACAGTGGTTAAGAGCTCAGCTGCTAACCAAAAGGTTGGCAGTTTGAATCTACCAGCTGCTCCTTGGAAACCCTATGGGGCAGGTCACTATGAGTCAGAATCGACTAGATGGCGGTGGGTTTGGTTTTCTGGTTTACCCGAGACTGGTTCGTGAGAATCTCCGGGGCTGGGGCCTGGGCACTGATGTCTTTTTAAGCATCCTCCCCACCCCAACCCCCGGTAATTCTAAGGGCAGCAAGGCTATGACTCACTGTCTAGCCTCAAGGAAGAGGAGGAAAAGGGGAGACAAGAAAACCCGTTTTAGGTTTTGGAGGGCCTGCAGCTGTTGTCAACTGCTGTCAAGTCGACCCCATGTACAGCGGAATGAAATGCTGCCCAGCCAGCGCCATCTCCATAAGTGGTTGCAGAGCAGACCAGTGTGATCCACAGCGCTTTCACGGGCTGATCTGGGGGCATAGAGGAAGCCTTAGAGGGGAGACGCATTTAGGGAAATGGACTCACTGGAGCCCCCATCACCTGATAATGCATCAGCGTGTTGAGCCGCTTCCAGTCACCCTCGATCTTGGTGGTGATGTCCTCGTCTTGCAGCACGACCCGGGCAATCCGGCCTTGGCGCCACTCTGGGTGGAAGGGGGTGGTGTGGGGATCAGGGTGAGAGGGGTGCAGGCTGAAAGCCAGATCACCCAGCTGTGCCTCCTCTGGAGACCTGGCAACCCTGGCTCCCTCAGGCTCATGCCTATGAGAGAGCTTAGAGACATCTAGGACTCCATGGGGTCAAGGACACTGAGGGAGAAGTATAGGCCTCACCAGAGACAGCCACGTCTGACATGGCCCCACGCCTGCTCAGGACCCAGTCATGTCATGAGGAGGGGCTGTATGCAGGGCAGGCTTCCCCCTGCCCATCCCATCCCATCCCACAGCCTCAACACCCCCTGGAAGCTGTTTTCCCATTCCTGCCCCATGCTCCAAGGCCAGGTCTCCTACCCAAGTCCATGTCCACAGCCCTCGGCCGCTGGGAGTAGGGCACGTTCTTATACACGGCATCCAGGATCTTCTCCTTGACCTGTGTGATGGTGTCACAGTTTAACGCCTTTACTGGGATCTCCGGGCTGTTCTCGTTGTCTGGGTTGACGCAGTTCAGGATCTGAAAGTAGGAGACAGAGGGTGAGCAGGATGGGAGGGGAGAAGGACTGAGGCCTCAGAATCTTCTCTTTCCTCCTTACACCCACTGTGGTCTGTGCCTCAGTTTCCCAGATTCTCTCATCTTCCCATCATTTGCCAAACAAGAAGCTGGGTCATTGTGTCCACCCCTTCTTTCTCAGGGAATCAGGACTCTACTTTCTAGATCCTGGAGGAAATAGGTGTCCTAGGGGTTTAGCTATCCGTCAGAACCGACTCGATGGCACGTAACAACGACAGCAAGGGGTTTAGAGATGACTCAGGTACATCAAGCGCTGGCCTTACACTTCGCCAGGGCCTCTAGGTTAGGAATCAGCAGATTCACATTCTTTCCCATATGCTGATTTTTCTTGTTAGCTGTCATCTAGTTTGCCCCGACTCATGGCAACCTCATGCACAGCCGAACAAAACGCTGCCCACAAAACGCTGCCCGGTCCTGCACCATCCCCACGATCGGTCGCAGACCAGACCATCGTGATCCATAGGGTTTTCATTGGCTGATTTTCTGAAGTAGATTACTAGGCTTTTCTTCCTAGTCTGTCTTAGTCTGGAAGCTCTGCTGAAACCTGTTCAGCATCATAGCAACACACAGGACTCCACTGACAGACGGGTGGCGACTACACATGAGGTGCACTGGCTGGGAATTGAGCCTGGATCTCCTGCATGAAGGTGAGAATTCTACCACAGAACCACCACTATCCTACACCTAATGGTAGGTGATATATTCCCCCCAGTACTATCTAGGGTAAACTGAGGCATAGACAACACTTTGGGCCCACCAAATGAGATGGTAGAGGGGGAAGAAGCCCAGGTTTCCGACATAGCCAAACCTTCCGTGCCCTTGGTACACTTAGCATGCCCTTTGAACTTGCCCCAGGCTGGTCTCTCTGCCCCCTATTCATCCCCTCAGACTGCCTCTGTGGTCAGCCGATAGAGTGCATATCAAGCAGGAGGGACAAGCGCTGTCCCCGGAGCTCCTGGCCTCTCACCAGGGTCTTGTACTCAATCTGTTGTCGGATGAGCTTGTCCTCGCTCAGAGAGTATCGGGCTTCGCCTGTGATGGCGTCGATGGGGCCCTTCTCCATCTGCTGCTTGATGGCACAGTAGAGCATGAAGAGCGGCTCCCCGGCGCACTCCTGTGGGCACAGGCGGGTGCAGGTGAGGGGGGCTGCCGCCTAGGCTGCTCAGCCCCCTGTCCTCTCCTGACTGCCTCTCGGGGTCATGGGGAGGGGCTGCCCAGCCAGCTTTGCTTGGGAGCATCCAGGCAAGGCAGGTTCCCTTCTCTTCCTGAGGGCTGGGGTCCCCGCGCAGCACCGACAAGCAGGCTCAGCAGGGTGACCTCCCATCTTGCTCTCAGCTCCGGGCCGGCTCACTCCCACGCTCACCTTCAGGAACCTGTGCAGCAGGAAGGCGAACCAGTTGGTCAGCATCTTCTCAGCCACCGACTCCGTCCTGTGGAGAAGGCAGAAGGGATGAGGGCGGTCCTCTCCGGAGGGGTCTTGGTGGTGGGGCCCGGGCTTATTGTGTGAGCCATGGCCCCAGAGAGCAACAGGGCATGAGGGAGCATGGGGCTGGGGGCATGATGCCTGGTCCTAGCCTGGCTCCGCCAGTAGCTCCAGCGTGACTGGGGCCTGCGGCTTCTTTCCGAGTCCCAGCTTCCTTCTGAAATGAAGGGGCAGGACTGTTCACCGCTGATGGGTTGTGGTACTACGAACTGCTTTGACTGTATCTGAGACAGGGTCTGACCTGGAGGCTATAATGGACTAGTTCTCCCCACTTCCTCCTGGCCGCAGGGTGGTTAAAAAGAGGGTTTCCTGCCCCTCTGGGATTCCTCACATGCCTGAGCACTCTGCTCTTCATGCCCGAGGGGCACCTGGTACCTGGCCCAGACACTCAGACTGCCTGGGTTCAAATCCTGGCTCTGGCTGTGTGACCTTGGACAAGTCATTTAACCTCTCCAGCTTCAGTTTTCCCATCTCTAGACAGGAACACTAAGCACAGTATCTCCCCCACAGTTCTTGGAAGGGTTGCATGAGTTAAAACATGGAACGTGCAAAGAATACTGCCTGGCACAGTAAGCTACACGCAAGAATTAGCGATTGTTCTTGCTGCCACATGCGATCTTGGAGCCCAGCCCCTCAGGTAGAGAGCAGCACTGAGGGTTTAGCTGACAAGGGATCTGCTTTGGCAAGGGCTCCCCTCTCTCTCATCCCCCTCCCTCCCATCCCATGTCTCCAGACTGCAGATCTGGGGACTCAGGGAGGAATAAAGCGCAGTGACAGACCCTCGGTGATGGGGATGCCGAAGGGGTATTTTAACGCCCTGCACGTGGTGCAAATTATACCCTCTGGTAGCATAAATCCCCAGCATTTGCCAGGGCTGCTTAGCAATTGGGCCTGGGAGAGAGTGACAACGGCAGAAGAAATTGTAGCTTTCTCCCCCAGCCCCTCCCAACACCCTCTCCCGGCATTGTGCCTGAGATTAGCTCTAATTTAAATACAACAGTTCTTAATGAGAGTTTCTAATGCTCAGATTGGCAGGAGTGGGGATTGGTGCTCATAAAACAAAGCCATTCTTCCTCCCTCCTCACCCCACGTGGGGCCTGGAAGCCGAGCCCTTCCTGGAGAAGGCTAAAGAGGACGGTGTGGAGTGGAGGTGGACTGTGACGTTCCCTGATGTCTGGAGGGCTGGTGGCTCCCCCGGCCTCCAGGGAAAGAGCCACTGGGGGTGTGGTAGGGTGCTGGTGATAGACCCAGGAAGCTTGGCACAGAAGGGACAAGCAGCACCTAGTCTCCAGCCCCACGCTCTCCAATAGAACCTTCTGTGATGATGGAAATGTCCTTTATCTGCGCTGTCTAGTACGGTGGCCACTAGCTGCATGTGGCTCATGAGCTCTTGAAACGGGGCTAGGGCAGTGGGGAACGGAACGTTTAGCTTTCTTTAGTTTTAGGTAACAGCCACCTGCCGCTACTATGTTGGACAGCACAACTCTAGATGCACGGGGAGGGAGACCGCAAGAGCCATGTTGTTTATTTTCTTTTTGTGGATGAGGAATTGAAATATCAGAGAGGTTGAGTGATCAGCCCAAGATCACACAGGCGGCAGAGCTGGGACTGAGCTGAGCCCTGTGGAGCTCCACCACACCGTGGCTGCTTCTGATGCTCTGCATTCTCTCCCTGGGCGAGGGGAGATCAGACCGTGCACCAGGGAGACTCATGGACTGGGCTGTCCTGCACCGATGTCCCTTCTGGGCAGTGGGAACCCTCTCCTGCTGCTTTTGGGGCCTGCCCTAACTGAGGTCCTTGGCCCTGCTCAGAGACCCCTATCCACCCCGCACCACAGGTCAGACCTCCGGAGAAGCAGCTTGGGGTGGTTCTTGTTCTCCAGGTTCTTATCGATGAGGTCCGAGAGCAGCTGCTTGAGCACGTCGGTGGCGTACTCGAGGCGGCCCTGCAGGCCGGTCATGATGAGCGAGGCCACGTTGCCACGGTCGCGCATGGAGAAACTGCGTTGCAGTTCCAGGGTGCGGATGAAGGTCAGCAGGAACACCTTGTTGTTGATGAGCTGGGCAAAGAGCTTCAGGGCCTTCTCCACGTGCTGCTGCCCGTTCCCCTGCACCTGGGGTGGGCGGGAGGGGGCAGCACCCTCAGGGGACAGCCTTTTGGCCTCCTACCTCATCTCTTGCTGAGGGCCTATGCTGGAGATGATACCAGCAACAGGACCCTCTCCACGAAGCCTGTAACTACCCCGCCCTTCTTCCTCCACAGTGACCATCCAGCCTGGCCAGGGACTGGCTGGTCTCTGAGGTCTGCAGCTGGCTCCGACCTCCCCTGGGTGGGGAAGGTTGGGCTCTGTGTAGAGCACAGCCCTTGGAGGGGACGCCGTCTGACTGTCCCAAGGACATAATAGGGACACCCCATCAGACTTGCTCAGTTTACTAGTCTCCCCCACCCGCCTCATCCTGAGTTATTATCTTTAGTAGAACAAATCAACAAACAAACCCCACAGAATCATGTCTTTCTTTCTCTAAGCCACCTCAAATCCATTTTTGAATGAGGCAGGGTCTTGGTTAATTAATTCAGTCATTAA